ATTGCCAAAATGATGTTCGGTTCCGAGCGCAAGACACAATAAAAGGAGCCATATTTTGTAAGAAAATAATGTTTGTATTTAGGCACGTTACTGTGGCATTCCGGTTTAAATTGCATTTCCTATTTTCCTTATTTTACTGTAAAAAAGGTGATCTTATGTAAATTTTTACTGTTTATACAATGATATGTAATTTTTTACTGTATAAACAGTGATCTCAAGTAAATTTTTACTGTATAAACAGTGATCTTGTGTAAATTTCAAGTGGAATAAGCTGTTTTGGATACAATTTTCCGTTGGTAATGACCGTACCCCTCCTTAATGCAAACAACCATCAGTTTCCTTATTTCTACTATACGCTAAACAACACATTTAATCTTGAGAAGTATTTGGAAAAAATATAGTCATGAAACACATAAAAAACAAAGGTACAACAGCAAATAATTATGTATGTTTGTTCAACATATACAGCCAAACAGTGCCAGAGATTTCGCTGACATTAAATCGAAACATGAAAACAAAACATCACACGCACTGAACCAGCTGGCTTGGGACGGCGAGAGGAGGGGCGTCGCGGCGAGCGTGAGCTGGGGGAGCGCGGTCGCCGGGTAGCCCCACACGGAGATGAGCCCCGCCAGCACCAGCCCCGAAGACACCGCCGCCCATACCTGGTGGGAGGGGGGGGAGGGGATATTCATACTGCCTCTCCAGTGCCATTAGATACATATACGATTTTGTTTAACTCATAAAAACATCAAGCCAATTGCAAACATGATAATTCTATATAACTATGCCTTTTTAGTGCATATACCACTAGTTCACGTGTCTAAACAAATGCCTGGCATTGATTTGACGACTGACATCCGAAAATATCGAACTATTTCATACAGTACCTGATTTAAGACAGCATTTTTAAACTTCATTCTGAATGACCATGCAACTGGGGTGTGCGAGGAGCGCGCGTCTGTATACTAAGAACGACGTAGAGAGACTGGCAGTGTCCAAGATTTGAAGGTTAAGCCTGTGGCCAGCATACATGATACTAATAGTACAATACTGTAACAACGGTATTGCGAAACAGGGAAAAGAAGTATATATCTTTTTGGACCGAAAGATCACTGAGCAAACATTACTTTTCGTTAAATGTGTCTCATCAGAAAAAAGCAAGGTTGTCACCAAATCGGTCGAAAATACTCCTGGTCGGCGGCTGTTCCCAGCAACACGCTCCGCTTTCCGCCTCCCCCGCTGCGCGCGTGGCGGGGCGCACAACGTGTTTCGCAAATCGATATTGTTGAAAAACTCACAGGAAAAACGCTCTCGGGCTGGAAGTTGAACGGATATCGATATAAATAAATTGCAGATTCCTTGAGAGAGACACAGATAAGATACTATTGCAATGGTGAAATGAATAGGTCTTGCAGTGAAGCCGTGCCATTATTTTTGGGAAATATAAAATTTGTTGTTCAGTGTTCTCACTGTCTGCCGACATCTGTCATTCAGTAGTTATCTATCTGTACCTGTTCAACTATCTATCCCTTGACAACTCACATATATATTGTTTCTGTGTATTACCTTGTGTATATATACACACACACACATATATTATATATAATATATTTTAAATATACATATGTTTATACATGTGCATATATATATATATATATATATATATATATATATATATTATATATATATATATATATATATATATATATATATATATATATATACATACATACACACACACACACACACACACACACACACATGTGTATGTATATATACATATATACATATATATACATATAAAACACACACACACATATGAATATAACATATATATATATATATATATATATATATATAATATATATATATATATATATATATATATATATATATATATATATATATACATACATATGCATACATACACACACACACACACACACACACACACACACACACACACACATATATATATATATGTATATATATACATATATATAATATATATATATATATGTATATATATATATATTATATATATATATATATATATATATATATATATATATATATATATATATATATAGAGAGAGAGAGAGAGAGAGAGAGAGAGAGAGAGAGAGAGAGAGAGAGAGAGAGAGAGAGAGAGAGAGAGAGAGAACATGAATGATATGGAATATTTTCACAATACAAGAGATGTATTTGGCTGGTTTCGAGTATATTCTTGTCAGAAATACATACATCAAAGAAATTACATAGCATATATGTATTACACGTCTACTGATGAATCATCTGACGACACATAAGGCGTTTTAAGCAGGGAAAGTTCTTGCCTGAAATCTCAAGCGTTTTTCTTGCTAACTCAAGCATTCCGATTGCTTTCTCAAGCGACCTCCGTAGATGGCTTGACTTGCGCTTGCTAAGTCAAGCGGTGTACCGCCACCATGGCAACGGTGTCGGTCGCGTACCGTACTGGTCACGATCCTTCGAATGCGGCCGTTGGCCAGGAACTCCGCTTAATATCTTATCAGATATATAATTTTTTCACGGTATCTGATTCAGTAATCTTCTTAAAATCATATTCAAAGAAATTGAAATTAACTGAAAACGAAAGGAGATAATGGAGATTATGGAAATAAAAAGTTTTACTTATGAATAATAAATGATTTATAAGACGAACAATTTTCCTCTTATTGTTAAACTCCTCGTCTCTCTAAATCAAGAATATATCTGCTATTTTATGAAATAAAGAATATTTCAAGTGAAAAAGTCTGAGAAATTCTAGCAACATTCTTCTGTTGATATTATATTCGATGATTTGTTATATTTAACCTCAGAAAATCGGATATATGGGAATGGGTAGGCCTATATTTTAATTCAGGGATATTCATTTGTTTTGATAACGCGTCAGAATGAAAGGGCTGTCAATCGGAAGTGTGTGTCATTGTTTTAGAGGCACTTTATATGAATATAGGAGAAAATATAGCGCTTTGTTAAGATGTTTGGGTAGGTTTATTTACTTCTCTGCCATCTTGATGCGGCGCTAGCTTGTCAATTGTTTTGAATTACGCACTCAAACTGTTACTAACCGCAGGTGAAATAAACTCCACCCTCGACTTGTGCATAAGTTATCTCTTTCCGAGATTGTTGGTGGGAATATTGCTTTTAAAACCCAAGTATATATATTTCGTGTGTTATTTTGATATTTCTATGCTCATCAAGGACTGTTATGATTTGTACTTTATAAAAAGACATTTCCACATGTCTGGCATCACTGAAGAGGGCCTGCCTGCCTTGGAAAGCGTTTTAAGCAGGGAGCGGTACAGCGCTTGGCAAGAATTCTTGCCAAGCGCTCCCCTGCTTAAAACGCTTATAAGGCGTTTTAAGCAGGGAAAGTTCTTGCCTGAAATCTCAAGCGTTTTTCTTGCTAACTCAAGCATTCCGATTGCTTTCTCAAGCGACCTCCGTAGATGGCTTGACTTGCGCTTGCTAAGTCAAGCGGTGTACCGCCACCATGGCAACGGTGTCGGTCGCGTACCGTACTGGTCACGATCCTTCGAATGCGGCCGTTGGCCAGGAACTCCGCTTAATATCTTATCAGATAAATAATTTTTTCACGGTATCTGATTCAGTAATCTTCTTAAAATCATATTCAAAGAAATTGAATTAACTGAAAACGAAAGGAGATAATGGATATTATGGAAATAAAAAGTTTTACTTATGAATAATAAATGATTTATAAGACGAACAATTTTCCTCTTATTGTTAAACTCCTCGTCTCTCTAAATCAAGAATATATCTGCTATTTTATGAAATAAAGAATATTTCAAGTGAAAAAGTCTGAGAAATTCTAGCAACATTCTTCTGTTGATATTATATTCGATGATTTGTTATATTTAAAAATCGAATGGGTAGGCCTATATTTTAATTCAATATTCATTTGTTTTGATAACGCGTCAGAATGAAAGGGCTGTCAATCCACTTTATATGAATATAGGAGAAAATATAGCGCTTTGTTAAGATGTTTGGGTAGGTTTATTTACTTCTCTGCCATCTTGATGCGGCGCTAGCTTGTCAGTTGTTTTGAATTACGCACTCAAACTGTTACTAACCGCAGGTGAAATAAACTCCACCCTCGACTTGTGCATAAGTTATCTCTTTCCGAGATTGTTGGTGGGAATATTGCTTTTAAAACCCAAGTATATATATTTCGTGTGTTATTTTGATATTTCTATGCTCATCAAGGACTGTTATGATTTGTACTTTATAAAAAGACATTTCCACATATCTGGCATCACTGAAGAGGGCCTGCCTGCCTTGGAAAGCGTTTTAAGCAGGGAGCGGTACAGCGCTTGGCAAGAATTCTTGCCAAGCGCTCCCCTGCTTAAAACGCTTATAGATACATGTAGGCCTATATCTGTCTGTGTGTTATCATCAGGTCAGGCAAACACGTGCGAGCTTCGTGTTTACAATCTGGTATCACCTGCTTCTTCAGCATCCTTGGCCAGCACCAACGAGGTCTTCCTCCTCCTGTAACCGCTTTACACCTTTCTAATAAAGATCATTATTTGATTGATAAGGAGCAGTTACTTTTCCACGCAATAGCACTTTGATCACTTCAATCAGTCTGGTGGTACTTTCTTTCTTGTTCATTCTTTACACTTGGTTCTCGTTCAAAGAATTATTAGTGTCACCTGGAATAAGCGCACACAGTGGAATTGGTAATAAACCACACTTATATTCCACCAATCTGATAATTTACGACACAGATCCGCGAGGCTATTACTGAGCGAACGAGAGTAACCACCTCGCTTGCCCTAAGTGTGCGAGTCTATGCTGAATAGGGCAGTTTTACTAGCCTCTCACAGTCCCTTGAATTTCACGCTTGTTCATGCCCTATTACAGAGATAATATCTATGGCAATTACAATATACATGTGTATCCGTAATGATAAATTTACTAACCAAGGTATGGTTATGACAGTCATAAGAAAA